ATAGGCATTAACCGCCAGCCACGTGCCTCCAAGCGGGCGTTATCCACGGCACTCCCGCGTGCCGAGACGCCGGGGCCGGGCTCGGGCCCCGCAGCCGAGGCGGCGGCGCGGGCGCCATGATGCCCCCAGCGGCGCCTCGGGGCGGGCGGCTGCCGCTGGGGCCTCGCGCTCCAAAGCAGCGCCACGTTTGGCCGTGGCCGTTAAGTGCGTGAAAAGTTATGGCCTTTCCCCTCACCGCTGGCACGCCATGGCTCCCAACAGAGCTGCCGCCCTGGCGGAACCTCTTCCCTGTGCTCCCTCAGGGAAGATGTAAGGAGCATTTCCCCCAGGAGGTTTCTTTTCTGTAGAAGCAGTGACTCTATCTATGTGGTGATGACCCTCTTGTAGGAGAACAAGTGGTGCAGAGAGCTTTAAGAAGCATTTTTCCTCATTAAAACACSCATCTTAATGGCTGCTGGAGAAGGATGGCACCAGCACCCAAARTTTTTCTTCACCACCTACCAGTAAAGATTGAGGCTCGCTCTGGGGTTGTGTAGGGGTTGCTCAAGGCCATGGTGAGGGGAAGGTTGGAAGAGCGGCAGCAGAGCTTTATTTTTTCCCAATTATTTTTCATATTTTAATAATGTGTGCYTAGATTTGAGGCAATGCTGAGGGTTCATTTACCTCTTGGGTACCAAGTGCTGCCGTTGGCTTTGACTGCCTCAGCTCATGGGCTAACARGTTAATGGAAACCCAACTGAATTACACCTTGGCTTCATATTCCATATATCGTAGGAGGAAAAGGGTGTGTGATTACCTGGAAAATTCTTATTGATTGTATGTATGAGTTTGGAGATTTTATTATGAAGAACTTACTTTACTTCAGGACTGTCTGCATTCATATGGAAACAATCAATGGTTTGTTGAAGAAATTTGCTGTTGAAGGTGGTGGAGTAATGGTTAGAAATGCATGGTGTCTGCTGGACCCAGAAAGACCGGAGTACTTGCACACTGCAATCATTAAAAAGAAACACCCAAACCCTTTCCCAGGAAAAAAACTCCGAAATATTAACTAGCTTTGAGTGCAGCTTCTTCCCCGCTCAGTAGTACACAGGCCTCAAAAGAGAGGTGATATCACCATGTCTTAGGAGCCCTTGCCTTGACATTTGGACTCTTTGCCCAGGGAATAGTGCAGCAAATTCACTGGGAAAGTAATTTCTTCCTGAAAACTGTGGATATTT